ACTTTTTTTCAAACCATTCGTAGCATTTTAGGACTAATTACCTGAGCACATTAATAACATAAGTGTCTCAATCATCATACATTCGCAAAAAAATTTTTCTCTCGGTGATGTGTTGATCCTAAAATCTTTTCTTTTGTGAAAGTGTATAATATCGTTACGTTATGTTATGTATATAATCTTTATAAAACTTCAATATTATTTTGTATTTTAAAATAATCGAAAAAAAAAATATTTAAAAAAAAGCTGCCATTGATAGGGAACGAACCTCAGCTTACTTGTGCAGAAGCTCGGCGTCTTATCTACTCGGCCACATTGCACAGTGAGACAGAGTGTGCCAAAATAGAAAAAAATCACTATCGGCATTGTATTCTGAAAATATGTCATAATGGTGAAAATATGTTTATTAGACAAAATATATAGTTAAAAAAACATTAAATACTAATTTATACGTTGTTTTATGCGGTTATATACACGTGAATTTGACATGTGTTTCAAAACGCTTTATTTCATTTTTTTAATTATCAACTTTCTTACGCTACTATTGTTTTAAATTAGTTTTGTTGAGTATGATTTTAAAATATATTATTTGAATTAACTTTGTTTTTTTCGCTCTGACTATTCAAAACAATTAAACGTAAATGTAATAGTCAGTTTTTATGCATCAGTGACAGGCAGTTTTGGCTTTTTTTTTTGCTATTAACCTTTACTATTAGGTATCAGATAAACCGTCCTCTAATATCCTCTAAACATTTGATTATGTAAATCGGATGCTTAATGTATCTTAACTGCAATTTATCATAAGTATTTTGCAACTTTTTGCAACTAATAAAGTTATAACAAATAACTCATACTCAATTCATAGTATTTATTGCAAAAACACGTTTTTCATAAGTTCTTTAAACTCAAATATTTTTCATGACTTTTTAACTGCAAATTAGTTATGCAAGATTTTTTTTACCGAAGGTTTCAATAATTTTTTTCTTTTAGTTATATATATGATACTTGTTGATATGGTGTCTTTTTCCCTTCGTCCCTCCTCCCCCCCCCCCCCCTACTTCCTTTTCCTCCTTAAAAAAATATTTTTACAACCTTTTCAGTATATCTAATGCTTTTACATATAGTGTATGCACTAATAATATTTTACAGACACTTGTCCGCAAGATGCAATAACTTCAATTTTATCTTTAGATGAAAATGTTTTGATTTTTTTCAACTCTTTAAAAACTAATAAAATTTCTATTCAAGATACTCAGAAATCATATATTCATTTTCAACATTCTTTGAGTTATCCCTTGATCAGAACAATGAAATTGTTTGGAGATCAAAACTTATGTACATTATGTATATTTTAGCACATCTTAAATATCGGTGGAATGTTTGTAAACGCAGAGAATCTTTATTTATTAAGAACAATACTAAATGGCTTAATAATGAAACTAATTTAAATGATTTTTCTACAGGCAAAATAACCATACCTACAAGTTCTCAATCTACTTCCAGCGCTGGTCGACCAACAATTACTGACTTTCAAGAGTGTTCTTCAAGAACTAAGTATCGACGTGTTAGTAAACTCTAAAAAAGTCACTTGTCAAATGAGCTAATATTTGCTTCAAAAGTTTCATTAAATAAAGAAGGAAAAATAGAAAAAGCTAAAGCAATCAACAAAATATATTCAGATAAGAATGTAGATTCTTCGATGCTTTCTGGAAATGAAGCATTGTCGTTGATGCTAGATTCAAATATGACTAAAGCTGCGTTTTAACTCCATAGAAAAGCAAACAAAAACTTTTGTGCTACCCTAATAACATGATTTTTACTGACTATACTGCAAGTATACCACTGCAAAGTTTATGTGACCATACAGCTCAAAGACTTTGTCAAGTTCAAAATGAGGTTTTATGTATGCTAGAAACGTTTGACCTGGTATCTCTACATTATAAAGCAGGTTTTGATGGGTCTACTGGTCAAAGCATATATAAACAAAAAATGTCTGTTGAAAGTTTTCGCGTTCGTTCTTGTTTTTTATAAAGCAAAGTGCTGCGACTCTTACCCACCGATACCTTGTTTGCACATTGCGCCAATATTGTAAAGTCAATAATTGAAATATTAGCGATACAATATTGCGCCAATACTGTAAAGTCAATATTTGAAAGATTGGCAAAATGTTCCCATTGCAATATTGGCGCGATAATGCTTAAAATATTGCGCCAATATTGTAAATAATATCGCGCCAATAGTAAGGGATATAATACTGGCCAATATTGGCCTAATATAGTTTACAATATTATCCTTATATATATATATATATATATATATATATATATATATATATATATATATATATATATATATATATAATATATTATATATATATATATATATATATATATATATATATATATATATATATATATATATATATATATATATATATATATATATATATATTTATATATATATATATATATATATATATATATATATATATATATATATATATATATATATATAATATATATATATATATATATATAAATAATATATATAACTATATTTGGGCAATATATTAACTATTTTCGATTAAATTTTTTTTATTAAAAAATGATAGAAAATTATTGCCTTTAACAAATTTTAAATAATTGAAATTTATAACATTTTTTTGATAAATGATACTATACACTCTTAGAAAAAATCTGTTATATACAACGAATTGTATCTGCCGCTATTGCACTAACGGGAAATCCGTTAAGTTCGATAGGAATAGTCCGTTGAATTTACGGATTTATTTCTTTAGTGCAACGAACAATCCGTTAGAATTAAGGAGTTATTACATTAGGCAGCAAATTTTCTACGGCTGTTATTCCTTTGAAATAAAGGTGTTGATAAGTTATTTTAGTGATTATATCGTTAAAACCACTAAAATTTAAAATTAGAGAAGCCAGAATTGTGACTTCATAACCAAATAATCCTTATATTTGTTAATGTTTGCAATTTTATTTAGTTGCATTATTTTATTTCGATATTCGACATTAAAACGTTTTAACCAAAATTTGAAAACTAATCAAATATTTATAATATTTACTCCAATATACTTTAAATTACATTAAAAATAGTTTAAAAAAATATTTTTAATACATTATACTCAAGCTAGTATATTTATATAAAACACACACATATAAAATAGATGTTTAAAATAAACGAATGCCAAGATATTAGTTTTTGGTCGCTAGTTTTGGTTTGATTGGTTTTAAAAGGTTTTGGTTTTAAATACTGTTGTTACTCTTACACAGGTTCGCACTTTAAATTGGACACCATGCTGTCCATTCCTTAAAGATTAATCTAAAATAAATTGAGGAAAATATGGAAACTTATTAACTATCTAGTATAAAACCAAAATAAAATGTTACTGATAACACTATGGAAAATATTTTTGGTAATTCATTATAAATAAATTTCTATTCAAAGTTTTGTTATTTTAATTATTTTTTTTTAAGATTCATTTATTTTTATTAACTAACATATTTTTTTAACTCGATTTATATTTCAAGTAGAGTTCGATAATTGGTTAGTTAAATAAGAGTTTATGTGGTTTGGAAAGGTTTCCATAATAACATTTTCTTGTTTTAATACGACATAAAGGAAGAGTTAAGAATATTTGTAACAACTTTATTTTTATCAGTGTTTTAATCCTATATATATATATATATATATATATATATATATATATATATATATATATATATATATATATATATATATATATATATATATATAAATATATATATATATATATATATATATATATATATATATATATATATATATATATATATATATATATAAATATATATATATATATATATATATATATATATATATATATATATATATATATATATATATATATATATATATAAAGGATTATTATTTTTAGAGCAGCCGCGGCGCAAAGGTTGAAGCTCTGGCTCAGAACTCGGGGTTCGACGCCAGCTCTAGCCCAGCAAGCGACATTGGTATGGAAGGAGGTGTAAACTTCCTGTTAAATGCTTACCCGCGATGCTCTATGCGAAGACCGTAAGGACTTTTAGGAGCACCTAAATACATTCAAAAAAAAAAAAAAAATAAAGTAGATAAACTTTATCTACTCCAGTTAGCAATGCTCTACATTTTTTATACAAGCAGAACTTTTAGTAGAATTAACTTGCATATATAATGTTGAGCTATGATTTTTTTTTAGCCTAAGCAGAAGACTCTACTTAGAAGTAACAATCATTTATTAGAAAAATATTAATAAATCTACTGTATGTGAAGTAAAAAAATACAAAAATATTTTTTTATCTTATAAAGAAAGGCAAATATAAAAAATGACAAACCTAAATCTTGACTAAAGAGATGTAAGATGCACGCGTAAAGTGATTCAGAATCTTCAAGTCCTAAACGGCTATAACCAGGTTGTTTTTTTAAGTTTAGCTCATATATGCAAGTTTTTTTATAATTTTTCAAAATTATTGTTTTATTTAATATTCTTAACTAAATACTTCAATGTAAGTATATATATATATATATATATATATATATATATATATATATATATATATATATATATATATATATATATATATATATATATATATATATATTATATATATACATACATATATATATATATATATATATATATATATATATATATATATATATATATATATATATATATATATATATATATATATAATATATATATATATATATATATATATATATATATATATATATATATATATATATATATATATATATATATATATATATATATATATATATATATATATATATATATATGATTTTTTAATATCAATCTTAGAATGCGAAGTGAAATATAATATAATTGTTTGCACATTAGAGAAGCTTGTAATTTTATCTGTTTTTATTCAACATTTCATGCTAATCAAAACCAGAATAATGTTTTTCAAAAATATTTAAAAATGTGTATGTTTTTTTAACAAGTTGCAAAATAATATAATAATTCTTTTGGATGAAATAATGTCAAAATGTGTTCTAACGTTGATGAAGAAAGCTAGAACTTATGGAAATAGATCATTTTGCAATAACTATATTGAGTAGAGTAATATAGGTACTTTTTAAATTTTTATATTGGTCTCTTTCATTACTCATTTCATATTATTATAATTTACATTTTGATGCTTTTTTTTACATGCTAGTGAAATGCATGAAAGATTTGTATGGTATTTTTTTTTTTGAGGAACATAAGTGTCACATGCAGCAAATATCGATTTGGTAGATCAGTTGAAAGGCGATCGTTTTAAGAGATTAGTAGAATAAATAGCCTAATAGAATCGCAAAGAAAACTACTTTTATGAAAAAAACTTATTATGTTTTTGTATGCTTTAATTGTAAATAAACACAAAATGTTAAAACTTTTAGTTATTTATCCGGATCTAAATTGTTAGACCTTAGTTTTCATTTTTGAAAAGGTTTTTTTTTTTGTACATTATAAGTTATTTACTTAAATAACTGATACTTAAAAAGAGGGTTGTTAGAAAAATGTTAAAAACGTCAAAATGTTTCATTTAGGCGTAATAAAAACCAATAAATAACGTTTTTAGAAAAACGTCTGTTCGACGCTTTATATGGACGTTCAAATAATCAATAAAAAACGTTTTTGTTGGTCTATTTAAAAACGTCCACAAAACGTTTTTAAAAAAAGCGTCCGTTTACCGTTTCATATGGACGTTTACAGAAGCATTATAAAACGTTTTTATGGGACCATTAAAAAACGTTCGCAAAACGATCTTGTGCGCACTTGGTACGCATATGGTTGTAAAATGGAATTAAATTAATCTCTGTAGTATCCATATTATTTTTAAGTTTCCTGATTACCCCATCCTTATTTTGAGGTCTTTCTCCCATTTTGTAATTAATGTTTTAAAGAAGAATATCTTCTACTGAAATAAGCTGTGGCGTATATGCTGACAGATACTTAATAGCTATACCATGAGAGGCGATTGTTTGCCTAACAGAAAGACTCCAGTGGAATTTATAATTGTCCATAACAGGCACCAGCGCTTTCACATTTGCATTCTCAATCGCTGTTGCTATCATTGTAGTTATGAAAGTACAAAATAAAGCTGCATTCCAGCCTTCAGTTTTTGTTTCATAAGCAAGCACTCTCATTGTTGAAACAGCACAAATTAAACTATTATTCTTGCCGCAATTTGCAGGTGACTGTAAAGTTGCTAGCGTACCATTTAGCGAATAACCATATGTGCTGTTAGTGTGCACATTAAATCCAGTTTCATCCAAATAAACAAGTTTTTCATTTAAAATTCCGTTAATTTTGCTTGCAAATGCATAGCGTGCATTAATAACTCTAGTTGAGTTTCGTTCTTCTGGCACATGCACAACACGTTTTCTTGATAAATCCGAGCGTTTGAGTTTTCTTGAAATAGTAGGCTGAGACATGTTGAAGACTGCTGCAGAAAGATTTTCTTTTATTGCTTTTTGCGCGCAAAGATTGTTTTCTTGTACGCATAATTCGATAATATTTTTTATTTGAGCGTTTATAGGTGTTTTATCTCGTTTTAAACAGAAAACGACTTGAATGCTGTGATGTCGTCGAATTCTCCTTTGTTTAACTTAACAACAAGATTTTGAACTGTGCCCTTCGATAAATTAAAAGAAGTGAAAATGCTTTTTGTGGATTGGTTTTTTTCAACTAAATTCTTTTGAGCTAAAAGATTTTGAACTGTGCGCTTCGATAAATTAAGAGAAGTGAAAATGCTTGTTGTGGATTGATTTCTTTTAACTAAATGCTTAAGTATTTCAATGTGCTCATTTGTAACATTTTTACTTGTTTTACGATTGTTACTGCTATTTTCTATTCCATCCATAGGGTAAAAACTTGATATTATCGCTAACTATAGATATTCAAATTTAAATCTAGATAAATGTATAATTAGATAAACAATAACTTAATCAATCAAGAAATTTAATAATAAAACTAAACAAAGAACTAATACTAAATTAAATAAACCGTGATCGAATACAAAAAGTCTTCGTCTTAAGTAATTTTAACCTCGTTTACCAGGAAATAAGAAAAACTTGTGTTGAAAAAAATAAACTGTTATTTAAAATTTTTTTTTTTTTTTACAAAAATCATTATTATATATTTCAAAAACAAATAAGATTTATATGTCTCCAGTTTATATAAATGTCCACCACAAATATTTACAATATATAAAGAACGTTAACAAGTTACAATATATAAGAAGCGTTAACTATTTTACGCATGCGCATATGACACCGAGTTAAAATAATAAACTTAAAAACTCATAGTTTATAATATATAGTGCTTGCTATTAACCCATGCATTCATGCATGAATAAAATAAATTTGTATCATCAGCAAACATTATTGTAACGATTTTTTTTAGTTATTGTGGAAGATCGTTAATATAGATTAAAAATAAAAGAGGACCAAGAATGAAACCTTGGGGAACTCCGCATTTTATTTTTAGGAAATTAGAATATTTATTATCGTTCGAAATAACACATTGTCGACTGTTGCACAGATAACTTTTAAACCAATCTAGGCTAGTATTTTTTATTCCGTAAAAAAAACCAATGTGTTAATTTTGTATATATGTTTATAAACACGAAGGATATATTTTAAATGGAATCTGCAGTTGCGTTGTTGGGTATGTTTACTTGAGCAATTACGTTTGATTTTTTTAATAACATAAAATTTTATTTTGAATGTTTAGGATTTTATTATGATTATGTTATATCAGAATTAAATTAATTAGGATAATTTGTAATGAATAACTAAAAATAATAAATAATATAATAAAAATTAATTATGTTTTAGATTTGGATCATCTTGCAGTCATATCGCAGCTCTACTTTTTAAAAATGAAGCCATCTTAAGACTTAAAATCAATAAAATTTCTTGTACAAGTTTACAATGTGAATAAAATCAATCTCAAAAGCATTTTAGTCCCACAGCATTAGCAATCTTAATTTCTAAGCTGCCTAAAAAATAAAAATAAATTTACCTCAACTATCCAAAAATGATGATAAAAATGGCTATTCTTATAAGTAATATGCTGGTATTTCAAAGTCCAAATTTAATGAACTAAATGCAGAATTTTATGCAAGGTCTATATAGAGTATATTGATAAGGACTATATAGACTATATTGATGAAACGTATTTTTTGCTTTCTTGTGAGACTGATACAGCAGAAAAAACCGATGAATCTCAGAACTTTTGACATATTTATTCAAAGCAAGTTTAACAAACATTTCCGAAAAAGTTTTTATAAAAAAAAAGATAAACAAACTTTTCAAAAGAAGTTTTAATAAACAAAGATAAACTTTGCAATTTAAACTTTGCAAAAAAACTATACCAGAAAATCTTTTAAAAGATTATCAGAAATAACTTGTGTACAACGTTTTTCACAGTGTTGGAATGAGTATATCTCTGGTAGGATTACTGTCTTCTACTTTTAAAAAGCATGTTACTTGGTAAAAAACGACGATAAAAGTCTTATTAACTAAATCCTGCAGTTAATCTTTTGCTACAAAGAATGAAACTGAAAATGAAGGTAAAGATAGAAAAAAATATTTTCAAACTATGCCAGAGCAACATAAACATTTAAAAATAATTTTGACAGGGTTGCATGTCAATGAAAAATTTCCTGATATTGATGCAAGTTTTGGTGAGATTGTAGAAAGCTATTGTCATGGGAACGGCCTTGCAGAAATTACAAATATGTAAATGGTTTTATAGATTTAAAAAGTGATAAATGAAATTTTTCATCGGATTTTAATCATGTAATCAAGATAGAACACCCTTATTTCTACCATATACAAAGTCGATTTTTAATATGTGATTTATATCATTGTGATCTAAATTTAAGACTTATATTTAGGTTGTAAGTGATAGTATGTGTCAATATATAGTTCACCCTCATAAAATATGTATTTATATAATTTTATTAAGAAACATTCAAATACTAATTTTATATTTTAAATAGAAAATTGTTTTTAATTGTTCAGAAATGTTTGATAAATAGTTAAAAAAAACACTTTAACTATTGCACAAATTGATATCATAATATCATTCAATAAGTATATATTATTCAATCTATATATATTTCAGTTTTATCATCTTGTTTTATTGCTCTAATCCAAAAATTCCTTCTATTTATTATTTTTTTCTGTTGTTGTTACAAATCGAATTCGGTAAAACTTTTATCAGTTTCCTTTTTTACCTACTTAAGCAACCAAAAGCACAACAAGATACAGGCATTATATTTCAATGATATGTTTTAGTTTTGTCTACCAACTACTGCGCATGCGTTAATTTACGGCTAAAAATGTAAACATTTGCAACTGGTCTATATATTTCATGTATATATATATATACACTTGCATACTTATAAATACATAATACATACATATATGAAAATAATATAATAAAGACTGATAATAATAATAGTAGTAACTAATAGGAAAATAATCATAACAAATGAGAAGGAAAAATATATACGATAGTGCATATGTGTACACACACACACACACACACACACACATACACACAGATATATATATATATATATATATATATATATATATATATATATATATATATATATATATATATATATATATATATGTAATATTATGAGATGGTTGATTTTATGTTCTTCGCATTTGTTATCATTATTTTCATTTTAGTTATTATTATTATCAGTCTGATTTACACTAAAAGCAGCCATTTTTAAACAAAAAAATAAAACTAACGATTTCTATTGGTTGCGGCTTAGAGCATTTACTCCTAAACGGAAGCAATTGCTTATGAGCAAAGAGATAAAATAGTCTATAATAACTCCTTGAGTAAAAGCAAAACATTATTTAAGTATTTTTTAGCTATTGCTTATATTAAGAGCATTTGCTTTCAAGCTCTTACTTTTACTCAAAGCAATTGCTTGTGAGCAATTTCTTTTTTTATTCACCCAGCCTAATAGTTCGCTGTTTTTTTGTTTTTTTTTGGCTTTATTTTATTTATTTTTTTCATATGTTCAAACTTATTGATTTTGATGAAAGCAACAAAAAAAATTAAATATTAAATTATCTCCTCCTCTATGTCCGTTATTTTAACTTGGTTTATTGTTTTACGTTTGACTTTTTTTATCTTATTACAATGAACATTCTTTATCCGATCGATAAACTTTGTGAATAAATCTTCATCGAATATTTGATCGATTGTTTCACTTATTTCCATATCAAGTTTACTCTCATTTAATAAGTAATTGAATTTTGAGAATAAATCTTCGAATGAAGTGTTTGTTGATTCGCCAGCATATAAGTCTTTATTTTGCACTAAAAGTAAATAACATTGAACATGACAAACATAACAAAGAATCCGTAAATATATAAAATAATTTATAGTATAAAATATAGTGTAAAATAAATATAGTATAAAATAATTTTGTTAAATAACTAGAGTTTATTTAAAGGGACAGATATTGAAGTTTAAACACTAATAAAAAAAAAAAAGTAAAGCTTCAGCGAATAAGGATATTGAACTATAGTAAAAAATAGGTACAGCAAAAATATTTTATAAAGTGTATATTTTATACAGTTAACAAAATTTTTTCAAAACTGCAAACTACAGTCTTTGTTGATATTTATTTTACCTTTTTCTATAAAACCAATATTCTGAATGTTAAAAAAATTTTCTAAAGTAACTCGAGGACGATCCCGATTGTGCGCTGTTGGACACTCGGCGTCATTTTTTGTTGAAAGCTCTCTATCATATTGCACTAACTGTATAACTTTACTTTTTGGGTAAACATTTCTTTTTAAATGTGTTCTTGTCTTAGTCTTTGGCTTTTTCTGTCTAAATTTAAACCAACCTAACGTAACAATATTTAATCATTAACAATGAGCTCAAAATTTTCATAATACAAATATTTTTATTCTTCTATAAAACAAAGAAAAAATATAATAAAAAATATTGATAGAAAAAAATTAAATAATAAAAAACCTCTAACGCGATTTAATATAAAATCAACCATCTCATAATGATAATTTTTGTATTCAGGATTTGCACGAACAATGCTGAAAGTATCGTTTAAAATAGATATGAATATGTTCATTATGATCCAATTTACTAAAACATTAAAACCAAAAAAAAAAATTGGGCCTAGAACACCGTTAACACTTCTATATTGATTAAATCTAAATTTTCCCAACAATAATGAAACCGTAGTAATTATGGCTTCGAGATACGTCTTGTATTCACCCAATACTGCACCTAAAGCAATTTATTTCAAGCAAACCATTACTTTTAACAGTAAAAGAAAAAACTTTAGGTAATCAAGATCTTATAAACACTTATATTTCATTTACTAACACAAAAACTTATTGTATTGAAAACATATTTAATAAATATTAATTAGTCAACTTGTTTTTGTATTTATATATTTCTTAAAAACTTTTAACCAAAACCAATATTTTTGTTACTAACAAAAATTATGATTCGTACTAAATATATACGTTATTATTTTCAAAGTTGTAAGCATAAACTAAAACACTTTCAATAAATTAACTGTAACTCATTGATTTTTATTGCTTAAATTTTTTTAATTTTATGTAAACATGTCATAGTTTTGTCTGTGCTAAAATTTTCCATAATTATTAATGATATTAAAAAATAGAAGATACAACAAAATTGTTTCTTGACTGCATTTCAAAAGAACGAATAAATTAAATTAACTGATTGATTACTATCCGCTTTATGACTTTTTCATTACAAATAAATTAATAAATAAGTTTGAACTTTACCGAAGGCGATATTAGAAAATGTAACAAATGAGCATAAAACAATAAAGAAGACAATTCCAAACATTGATAAAGGATACCATGCAGCTTTCAAAGTATAAGATATCATTGAAACATGATGACTGAACTGCAACAGTTTAATAAACTTCAAAGTCACGAAAAAAACATTGAGTGAGACAATCGATATATACATCATATCACAGTAAGATGCAAACTGAAAGTTGATAAACACCTGCGGCTTTTTATTTAGAACTCGTCGCAATAAGCCTTTGGCTAAATAATCTTAAAAAATCAATATATTTATAAAAAGTTTAAAACTTTGAGAAGATTTAACTATTAAATAAATAGAGTGTAAATTAATATTAGGAAAAAAAATCAATAAATATGAACAAATTAACAAACATTAACCCTTGGAAATAAAAATAAAGATATAACAGTAATTAGATACTGTAATAATAAAAATAAAATTGATCGTCGTTATAGACATTTTTTATCTTGTCTAAATAAACAAACAACTTGAAATCATCATGTTTTTTATTTTATTTTACTAAAACAGGATAATCTATATGAATGGATTAGAGGTACTTGTTGTAAAGTGAATTTAATGCTATAACTTTACTAATACACAAGCGTTTGCAGCCCTTATTTAAATATCTCTTTTTGCGTTTTAGAAATTATCCCACCCTCCTCAAGCTTTTTAAGACCCTTTCGTCCCCTCCATCTGCCTAATAATTTTAAACGAGGAGAGGGGAATTATAATTTTATCAGTCACTGATAAAAACGAAAACTTTAAATGTAATCAGGCTTTAAAAATTTTCAACTTGTAAAAAAATTTCGTAAATTTTTTTACAAGTTGAAAATTTTTTTGTCAAAAATAAGCATTTGGTTTGTTCCTCAACATAATATGAAACTTATATAAACACACAAATTTCTATTTCGCCGCAAACCGCAATAGATCTAAATTGTTTTTATGCGTGTTCTGTAAAAAATATATATTTAGATTTATGAGGTTTTGATTACATGACGACGGTAAACTGAAAGAGATTTAAGAAAAATTTCCTACCTACCTTTTTATAAAGACCCCTGTTTATTAGATCTGGACTAAAATTCTCACCTCTTATTCCCACCTCCCCATGTATTTAGCACGCGAGATTAATAAAATCTTCAACTCATCTAACATTAAAATAATCGCTGTTGCACACACATTGCAATAAATATAATTCCATAATAATGACGAATAAGTTTTTGCTATACTGAATACAAAAAATTTGAATATTATTTTATGAAGAATAAAAGTTAACAAATACTTGATGATTATTATTGTATGTTTATATTCTCTATTTATATTCTTTTTTTTTTTTTTTTTTGCATTATAGAAAAGGTCAAGGTAATATCATCGAACATATTTAATAGGTAATGCATAAAACACAGTTTGATTTTTATATTTTTAATTTTTACTTTTATTTTCAATAAAGGGTATTTAATTCCAAATTTAATGAAGAAAAAAAAGATTTTATTATTATTAGACTGCATGTCTAAATCAAAACTTTTAATCAATGCATGTGTATAAGGCACCTATGGCTTCTTAAGTCAGGCAATATTTTTAAAATCACTATACCAATGCCTAACTAAATCAGCTAATAAATTTAAACTAAAAAAACTTGAGTGAGGGAAATAAAAATTATTAAAGAAAACAAAAATTATATAAATATATATATATATATATATATATATATATATATATATATATATATATATATATATATATATATATATAAATATATATATATATATATATATATATATATATATATATATATATATATATATATATATATATATATATATATATATATATATATATATCTATATATATATATATATATATATATATATATATATATATATATATATATATATATATATATATATATATATATATATATATATATATATATATATATATATATATATATATATATATATATATATATATATATATATATAGCTTCAAACAAATAAAAACATAACATTTTAAATAAAAAAAATAAAAATCTAATCTAAGAAAGTGATTTTGAAGAATTTTCAAATAGAATTTATTAAACATCATTAATTATTTTGACTGCTTTATTTAAATTGTTAAGAACAAAACAAGTCAATCTATTTACCATTTTACTTGTAATAGACAATATCAAAAATAAAAAAGAATTAAAATAAACTACCTTTATAAAAGAAAAGTCCCACAGCAATAATAGAAAGTATTATCAATGCAACTTCCACTAAATTCCAAAACCCTTTAAAGTATTTACAGCCAGCTCGATATAAAAAGTGAGATTCTCGAATTATAAACAATATAATTATCAAGATGAACAAAATATGAGAACACAACATAGTCTTTGATCCAGTCATTGATGCATACAAATTAAATGTTTGAACAGAAAAAGTTGGAACAACTCCACCAGAAGCTAGAAACTCTAAAGCCATTGTAACCATGTTGAAATAATTAGTAGCAGCATTAAACAAAGCAAACTCAATTATTATAGCTCGTGTTTGTCTGTCAATCCATCTCTGTTTTTTTGCTTGAGCAAGTATAACTTGATTTTTCCATTTAGAAAATAATTCTATGACATAACCACCACCATAGTAAGTGTCTAAACTAGCTGCAAATGGATACCCATCAAGTTCTTGCCAAGTTTGATACCTCCAAGGCATTGTCAGAGTATTGATTGTAGAGTTATATTGTTTAGGATTAGTCCAATTCAAATCAAAACCTCTTGTTTCCTCTAATGTAGTTTTATAAAGAGACAAACAGTCTAGAGAAGTGAACTTAGCAATTGAGTTGGCTTTTGTACAAGAGTCTATAAAAAAAAAAAATGTTTATACTTTTTTATAAGTGGTTTATTAAATAGAAGCATTAAGTTATAAATTTTTTATAACATGTTACATAAAAGTATTTATATCATCAACACATACAAAAGTTTAAATTTGTATTGTTAATATTTATAAACTTATTTAAATTTAATTTTCAATAGAATGATATGTTTAATTTAAAAATGCAATAAAATAATTATAATACTGATTTTGTAAAGAACTTCATACTATTTGTAAATATTTAAATTTATTGCAGTTTTTCTACTTTTCAGATTGACATTGAATATTAGGTGGAAAATGCAAATGTTAAACAAATCAATTTATAGATTTTAGGTGGAGTTTAAGAGAAAAGTCTATGAATTGTCTTAACTGAGTTTGCAATTTAATTTGACTGCTACCATTACTGTTTTGATCTGCACCAAGAAAATATTGTTACTTAAAAAAACCTACACGTTCCTTTGAATGAAAACTATACTTAAGTCACACAAGGTAGCAAAATATTTGATTATATCTACCCATATTTTAAAAATCTTTTAGTTAGTTATGAAACCTAAAAAAAACATCAAGAGCATCAAGAGAGTCAAGAGAGGGTTGATCAGCATACTGATTAAAATTATTACTTATGTACTTTTATAAAATTAATACATATGTATTCTAACAAAATAAATACATGGGTGTTATTATAGATACAAACTATATCATTCATCTACTAGACAAATTATTTATATATTGTATATTAAGATATACACATTATTTATATCATTATTATCATGTCTATGACTTCTTGTACATAGTGGATAATCATGGGCTACAATTATACACACAGAAAAAAGACCTAGATAGAACAAAAGATAGAACTTTAAATATAAAAAATTAGATGTAAAATAAAGCAGGAAAAAAAAGATCCTGTAAAGAAAAAGTTAGATCAATCTTTTATCAGTGATTCTAGGTTCAGTAAACATTTTTTTAAATATTTTAATGAGGAATTCATGCGTAATTTGACACGGAGCATTTAGCAGAAACTTTTCACACATGGCTTTATATTATTTTATATTTTTAACCACCTGCTAATGTACTCTTGAATCTTTATTAACCTGTATACATCATCTTAACCAGTTTAAAGATTTAAACCTGTTCATTAGTTAAAAATTAGTTAAAAATATAATACAATCATATCATCAGTCTTTTATCATACAAAAAATTCAATTTGTTAATAGATAAAAATTTGTGTTAATTTTTTTATTAAAAAAACTAAAATTTTGAATGAAGATGTTAGGCAATAAATTTTTTTAACTTTGTCTACATAATATATAATTTATAAAAAAAATTATTTCAATCTTTGTCTTTTAAAAGATTTTGCATTAAAAGGACTTTTAAGATAATATAATAAAACGGCTGTTAAATTTTGTGAAACTTAATGTCACTATAGACTAATGTTCTTTTACATATTTCATTTCTTTTTTCTAAACAATTTACGTCAAGTTATTTATATTGTTGATTTTGTTTTAAATGCCTAAATTTGTTAACACAGTGTTATTATTTAGGTGTAAATAACAACAAAGGAAACATTGGTCAGTTTCTTTATAAAGTTTATATTTTATATTTTTAGTTTATATTTAAACAAGCGATTGTTAACATAAAACATTAGGAATTTATTAACAATGTTTTTACTTGTATTTGTCTATTTGAAATATATTTTTAGATAAAAATAACATTAAAGGAAGCATCGGCCAAGTAGCAAACAATATCAGAGCATCATTGTTTACAGTATGTAAGCTATATCCACAATATTGCATTAATATTGTTTGCTACTTGGGTGGTTTGTTTTAAAATTCTATTTCATTTCATACACCTTTTAAAACTTAGTTTTAATTTTTTCTAAAATTTAAAGAATAAAATTTTTTTATAATTAAAGATTTATAATAATGTTTTTATCAGCATCTATAATTTATGCTCTACAGGCAGTAAAAAATGGTACAATTAAGTTTTTTTAAAATTTGACTTTTAATGTGAATGTAGAACTTTACATTTATAAAATATACCTAAAAAAAAATATCACAAATACCTAAGTATTTTTAAAAAAAGTATTGGTGGAACAGATTAGTAAAATGTTTGATTTGTATAATATGATATTTACATATTTGCAGAAATTTAACAGAATGTTTTTTTTATAACTTGTTTTTTTGTAACATTTTGTGAACTTTTTTTTAACATTTTTTAAATTTTAGCCTGTTGTTTGTTTAACTATTTGATCTGAATCAATGCCTTTTAAAACGGCTGAAGTGTTCAAAAACAGTTTAATATTAAAAGATATCAAGAGTTTTTTTAGTTTTTTTGAGAAAACTAAAAAAACTCTTGATATCTTTTAATATTAAACATACAGAATTTGTATAATACATTTTTAAAATATGTATGCATGAGTAATATCTTAGTAAACTTTGATAAATGTTATAAAATTTCGTTTCTTAATAATTAATGTATGAAATTTCGAAAAACTTGCCTTCTTAAAAAAAAAAATATTTCAGGTAGGAAAACAAATTAAAACTTTGTAAGAACTACGACTATGTGCTTTAAAATAACATTTTCACAAGCAAGTTATAAATATAGTACATATATATGTGTTGACAACTGAAACAGCTATGAGTCAGCATAAGTAGTCAGAATTTTATTCTAATTCTTTGCTAATGTCACAATCAGGGAGATTCTCACATTCATTAGTTGGCCAGGAGTACAGCTTGCTATAAAACTTGTTGAATTCTTCAGGAATGAATTTGTTAAGGTCTTCCAGCTTGGTATTTTTTGGTGTAACTTTGCCACTTGGATAAGCCAAAATATACATCTGTGGTACAATACCCACATGTTTGGACATAAAAAAAAGTATAACAGACCAAACCATTAATATTGGTGAATGCCTTAATGTACCCTTTTTTATCACGGTCATATACAAAATGAAATAGGTATATATATATATATATAGATATATGTATATCTATATATATATAAATATGTATACATACAAATATATATATATATATATATATATATATATATATATACATATATATATATATATATATATATATACATACATATATATATATATATATATATATATATATATATATATATATATATATATATATATATATATATATATATATATATATATATATATATATATATATATATATATATATATATATATATATATATATATATATATATATATATATATATAAATGTATATGTGTATATTAGGGTGACACAAAATTTAAAAAAAAAAAAAAAAAAAAAGCCGCCGTTCATTTTCCTGTTCTACCAAACTTCGGAAATCTACGAAAAAATTTTTAGATCCCTAAGTGATCAGGAAGAGCTACATGTAAATTTAAAAATTTTACATTCCAAGCCTTTTTTTTTTCTTCACATTATTTTATTATTTTCACATCATTCAGCAAGTTTTCAAAACATGTGTCAAAAACTCAAGATGTTTTTAAAACATTTGTGGTCATTCACAACTATTTTTTAAAAACTTTAATTGCACCATAAACTTAGTGAATTGCGTTTAATCACTTGGCAACTTTCGATTTATTAATTATCTTACTTTAAACTTCGATTTTTTTTTACTGTTTACATATCCGTACAAAATGTTGAAAATCAAAGAGAGGAAAACAAAAGAAATTAGCTATAACGCTCGGAGGTCTGTTTACCTGCTTAACTCGCCTTTAAACTATCTACCTACAAACCAACTTCCATCAAATAGAAGTGTTCTTCGATATTACTTGTTCCTAACTTCAGCTAGAGATAAGCGATTCAAACCTATTAAAATAAACTTTTCATGTTCTCGAGCACGAGAAGATGTTATATGTAAAGGGAAAGACGAGTTTTGTAATTCAAATACTAAAAAATACTGTTTACTCCGACAAATTGTAAATATTTGGAAGTCTGCTGGTTTCAGTAATTACTTAATTTCTGAGAGAAGTATAGTGGAAAAGTTTAAATCTCTATACAGCAAATACAAAACTTTGTGCAACAGTAAAACCTTTCAAATCAAAAAGCAAATTTCCGAATGCCACAAAACTTTTACAATATGGTTGAGCAATTGTTTGACATCAGTGCGAAGGACTTTGAGATGAAGTTGAGACGCGATGAATCAATGCCTCGTGATACTTCTGTTTTACAAGAGGATTTGGCCTTCTTAGATGATCAAAGGTATTTTTTGCTAAAATTTTTTTGCGAAGATTTAACCTATTTTTCAATTATGATATATCTACTAATTTTTCCCTTATATAAAAAAATCATTTTTTTGAGAAATTTTATTTTTTTATTCAAATTTATCTTACGCTAAGTGTTTTAACAACTTTTTGCACAGAACTTACAGAAATATGATCATATCTTCTAAAATTGACACAGAGCTTGAAGCAAGGTTTCAGAGAAAGATTGATAGATGCAAGAGGAAAGAAGAATATAAAGATCGAGTACAGAAGAGCAACAATTCGATAATTCGTGACAACAAAGAAAAAATTGGGGAAAAAAGGCAATGGAATCACAACTTTTTTCCTAACAATGATATAAATTTCAATTTCGCAAGTGAGGAACCTACAGAACCTAAAAAAAACAAGAGCTGAATCACAATTAGGTAATATTTAAGTATAATTTGTTAAACACATAAAAATATTTGTTTAAACTTATGACTAAATAAAAAGAGAGAATATAAACAATTTTTTCTAATAATGCACGGACATTTTAGGCAAAACTAGTAATTTTTTGAAGTAAATGAAGAGCTAAGAATCTTTATATTAATTTAGATGCTGGAAGTGTAATTGCTAAGTCGGAAGATTTTGTCCCAAATAAAAATGTTAATTTTCACGAAGCAAGCTCAAAAAGTAGGCATCAGTTTAGACCATCATATTTCAGAGTAGAAAAGGAGATAACCAGTGAAGGTCTAATTGCAGCAACAACTTCCACCAGTATAAGGGCTGGTCTCAGCATTCGATATCAAACCCTACTTATTGCAAGCGTAGTAAACTATTTAGGAGGAGATGTTAAACAGCTAAAGTTAAGCAGAGAATCTGTCAGAAGACGACGTTACAGATTTTTAGAAGAAGAAGGAGGCCAGATACGTAATGAATATATTAATTTAATGGCTAACAAGATGTTAGTTTTACATTTTGATGGTAAAATTTTAAAGCATATTGAGGAGGACACTAGACAGGCAACTACTGCAGATAGACTATCAGTATCTGTTACTAGCCCAGAGTTTGAAACCAAAGATGATCTTTTACTCGGTGTTGTGCCAACTGATAGTGGTAAGGGAATCGATATGGCTATAAGTATTATGAATCTCCTAGAATATTTTGAAATTTGTGACTATATTGTAGGATTCTATTCTGACACCACAGTAAGTAACACTGGATGGAAATCTGGTGCAATAACTATTATGGCAAGATTTCTTGGTAAACCATTTCTTTGGTTATTGTGTAGACACCATATTGCCGAAATAAATATTACTTGGGCTTTAAAGGCAATTTCAATGGAAATGTCTAAAGCCCCTGCGAATAAGTTACTAAAAGATTTTCAGCAGAAATGGATTTGCAGAAATTTCAACAGAATTTTTTCCTAAAGTTTCAGCTAGTGGTGCTGTAGAAAAGTTCAAACGATTTCCTGAGCAAGACCTTATTGTTGGCAGTGATCTCTGCAAACTCTATTTGAAGTATAAAAAGCTTGTTACTAAAGCACTAGAACATGAAATCTTCCCCAGGTATGTAAAAATAATATGAAATGAATTAGTTTTTTCATAAATATACTTTTTTTTAAAGTTATTAAATAAAATTAGGAATATTTTAGGAATGATTACAGGCATCTTGTTGAATACTTGGCATATTACATGAATGTTAAGTCTGAGAAATTAAATAATTTTCACATCTATCAGCCTGGCGCCTGTCACAATGCAAGGTTTATGGCCTATGCAATATATTTTCCAATGCTCGATATGACATCCACAGTTGTTGAATATCTGACTCCTGAAAAAAAACATATGGTCTCAAGTGTAGCATTTATTGTTGCTATTTATTATGGACCTGCCTTTCTTTACTCAGGCAAAGCAGAGCATGCTGTTCTGAATGATTTTAATGCATTCAAAATTGCTGAAACAATTAAAACAGAATGGGATTATGAAGTTGGAAACTCACCTCAAAAAAGCATGAGTAACCACACATGGTATTTGTCTCCTAAAGTTGTTGTACTATCGTTAGGTGATCCTTATATGAAAGCAGATGCTAAGCATTTAATCATTCAGAAACTTTTAAAATTTCCAATTCCTGAGTTATCAGAGATTTCTGTTACAGCTCCTTCTGCTGTTAACGTTACCAGTGATAGTCGATTAGAGGATTTAAATACGAAGGAGAGTTGGCTATTTTTTATACTTACAGGTCACACCGAATCTGTACGAGAGTGACATACTTCAAGTTTCTAAGCGCTAGATTCATACAAAAATTTTGCTCAGTTTGTTTGCAATCTTAGTGTGACCAACGATTGCGCAGAAAGAAATATTAGTTTAACTAAAAACTTTGTTCACAGTTCCCACAATGAGGATCAGAGACAGAAAATTCTTTTGGTAGTCAGTGAGCACAGAAAGCTTATAACAAAAGATATGTCGCTTAAGGAACTGATAAAGCTAAAACCTAGAGTTGAAAAATTATTGCAAAATGATAGCTAACTGTATGAAACTATAAACAGTATTTTTATATATATATATATATATATATATATATATATATATATATATATATATATATATATACATATATGTATATAAGTATATATATATATACATATATGTATATAAGTATATATATATATATATATATATATATATATATATATATATATATATATATAAATATATATATATATATATATATATATATATATATATACATATATGCATATAAGTATATATATATATATATATATATATATATATATATATATATATATATATATATATATATATATATATATATATATATATATATATATATATATAAATACATATATATATATATATATATATATATATATATATATATATATATATATATATATATATATATATATATATATATACATTTATGTATATATACATATATATATTTAAACAACTTAAAATGTATTCTACAAAAAGAGTGCTCAATGTTCTTAAAAGAACAGAGTAATTACAAATTAGTAGAAAATCACTTAGCAAAATTTTTTCTCATTTAAAACTGTGTTCCATCAATAAAGATTCATCAGAAAAAAAAAATATTATTATATATAAATGTATAATAATTATACATTTATATATAATAAAGTACTCTAAGTTTACTTTTCTGCAAGTAAATTTAGGGTACTTTGATGGAACTCAATTTCCATTAAGATTTATGAATGACTGTCCGATTAAACATGGTTCTAGGACTTAGTATAACGAGTTCCATTACTGAACTATTTATAATACTAATAAGAAAAACAACATATGAGAAACTATTTATATTTTTCCACAGTTAAAAAAAATATATAATGTACAATATTTTTGCTTTCTAAACAATATTTAACAATAATATTTATTATTATATAAACAATTTTATAAAATTATTGGATATATATCAGGAATTATAGTATGATAAATTTATCAGAAGCATTTTGAAGATATAACAAATCAATAGTTTGTAGATATACATGTATAATACATGTACAATAGCTGTGGATATCCATTGACAACAAATTAGTCAAGGTATAATGCTTATTCATATGCTAAAAAATTACATCGTGGTCTGCTTTTGCATCAACATGTGTACAGAATGTGCTTAATTTGACAAAATATAATAAAGCTTTACATTGACAAAATGGCCCCATAAATAGCGGTTTTGCCCCATATAAGTGCGTAATACAAATCGGTGTTCATGAGTATAAATAATTTTTTTTTATGAATTTTCAAAGGTTAAACGTGATTGAACTAAATATAGTTTATTCAATGTAATTCAGTTAATAGTATACAAAAAAGTGTATCAGGTTAAACAGACAACATAAAAGCAGCAAAGGTGGCAAAACTACCCCGGTCTACCCTATATGCACACACATATATATATTTAAATTATGGCTCAACATCTTACGTTTTTATGCATTTTAATATTTTGTTAGATAAAATCTTATAAAACAATAACATTCTCTTTATTAAACTTAGTTTATTAAAGACTATGCCTTTCTTTTTAACATACTGGATAACAAATTTGTTTTTTGTTAGTTTATTACTTATGATCTGAATTTATTTTTAAGTTTCATTTTCAACTTAACATCATGTCGATAATTGTTTTAATAACTTTTTTAATAACTTTTTTTTTTTTAATAACTTTTTTGTTACTTTAGCTATTTCACTCTAAAAACACAATTATATCAAAGATTTTATTTAAATAGAAAGCAAAAACAAATCTAGCAATAAAATAAACAATTAAAAAGAATACTACTGTTAAACCTTACTTGGCTTCACACGAACTTGTCTAATTCGTATTCCGTTCACAATTTTTGAGGTAAGATCATTTAAAAATTGTTTTCCTGGAAAAAGTTTCATATCTGTATTCGCATAAAAACCACCTACGTTATACCAAGGTTCAGGAAAAACTTGTGGTAGAAAAAACTCTTCCATCCAATACCAAAAATCTTGCGAGGACTGAATCTGTTTAGTTATTTTAAATAAAATATAAAAATTATTAGTAAATATTAATAATAACACTTTTATTATTAACTTTCTATTAATTATTAGGTATTAAATAACTTTCTTATAAACTTAACTTTTAAAATATATTATGTGGCAACTTCATATTTTTATAGCTTTACTAATAAAAACAAGAGACAAACCTGGTTAAATACTTTACTATGAAATATTGGAATGTTTGGATTTGCTGGAAACCTTACTTTCAAATTGAAAAGTTCTTGCACATTGAGAGTTTGATAACAAGTGAGATTATCATGAGAACAATAACCAATAAAGAACACCAAACATGAATAAAAAATGTACAAAATAATTTCTGTAACAATAGTGCGCATCTTCTGGTACTTTAAACTTTGCTCTCTCATCTTTTTTACTGTAGAATAATCAAGAGGTTGCATTGTAATGCGATTACTATCAATGCTTATTTCCGGTTTAGGCTTGTGGAGCCAACTTTCATCAAACGCCAATATTTTACCTAAATTGAAAACTGTTATACTTTTTTTTTATTTGCATTCACTCCTAACAAGGCTGCAAGCAACCACTATTAAGTTGGGAGTTACTAGGAAAAAAAACAACAGAGTTATAGAGCAAGGAAACGGTTGACAGAAGACTTGAAAAGTTGAAGGTTGTATGAGTCAGGAAAACATGAAGATGGGAGAGAGTTCCAAAGTTGTTTACTGCAAACAACTACCATACTACGGTAGTTATTTGCAGTAAACAACTGGGTTTTGTTAGAGTTGAAATTCACAAGCCACTGTGAACCCCAATCTATTACTGAAGTGAGATCGGATTCAAGATCAGCTGCATGTTCTAGGCAATCGAAAAGAGAAGACTTTTTGTCAAGACAGGAGTATAAAGTTGAGTCTTCAGCAAAAAGAGCTACTTTAGATGAAAGGTTGTCAGGAAGATTGTTTATATAGATAAGAAACGAAACAGGGCCCAGGATGGAACCTTGGGGAACCCAAGAAGTTACTGGAAATAAAGAAGAGTGTTGGCCTTCAAGGATAACTTTAATAAACTGGTTAGAAAGAAATGATTTGATAATCTCAAAAACATTCCCAGAAACACCATATGAAGCAAGCTTATGGAGAAGAGCAGCATGCCAAACTTTGTCGAAAGCTTTAGATATTTCAAAAGCAATAGCCCTAGCCTCACTGCCTCTATCTATTGCACAATAAAATCTTTCAGTTACAGCAGTTAGCAAGTCGGCCGTAGAGCGAGAGGATCGTAAACCAAATTGATTGTCTGACAGTAGTTTATTTGACTCAAGATGAGATGTGAGGAATTTGTTGATCAAAGACTCAAAGACCTTGCTAATAACAGAAAGAAGACTGATTGGACAATAATTGGAGGGGTCAGAATTTTCTCTAGAATTTTTGAATATTGGAACCACAGATGCCATTTTCCAACAAGCAGGAAAACAAGACTCAGTCAAAAACTTGATAAATAGTTTAGAGAGAATTGAAGAAAGTTCTAGAGAACAATTTTGCAAGACTGTGACAGGAATGTTGTCTGGACCACAAGCTGTAGACAAGTTTAATCAAGATATGACTATAGCAACAGAAGCCGGAGTAATTTGAATGTCTAACAATGGGTCAACCTGTTTGACTGGAATGGAAGGAAGAGAATGTCCATAAGATTCAAGAGTGGAATTAGAAAAAGTTCTTTCCAAATAGTTTTGCCTTATCAATGGGAGAGGTAATAAGATCAGTCCCATGAATAAGAGATGGAATGTTAGATCTACCCTTGTTATTAATGCTGTTGAAGATTTTCCAAAAGACTTTAGAGCCTAACTTCTGTGATAAGATGCAAGATTTAGTGAACTTAGAATGATGGAGTGATGGAGAGTTCTGCAAAAATTAAATCAAGAACAGGATCAGCTATCAACAACTGCATCTTCTCAGCTGAATAATTTCAATGCTAACTTTGCTGATTCTAAAGCAGTATGTAATAAAGCTAATGTCTCAAAATCTAGCATGCTGATTGCATCAAGAGCATACAATTCAGTAATTGTCTGAAAGAATTGATTTTTGACATTGTAAAAATTGAATTCCCACAATGACAAAATCTAGATGTAGTTTAACTTCTTTACTTATTAACTTTCTTCTGAAATATCTGATTGCAAACTAATTTCACTAGTTTTCATCCATTCATTTTTCTGCATTAATTTCATCCCCCACTGATTCAAAACAAAAAATTTCATAACAAACTCTATGCTCTACCTCTCAATCACTCTCATATTTCTTTTGGATTGGTAAGTTAATGTCTTTATTCTTCTTGCATATCATGTTACATACCCCAAAAACATTAAAGCAAAAAGTCAACATTGTCAGCCAATTGCATGAGCTTCATAGATTTGTATGGAAAAAGATATAATAGGTTCTTCTTAAAAAAAGATATATATAGGTATATATGCAAAATAAATTCAAATGATAATTATTATTAAACTTATACAGTGCAATTATTATTAAACTTATACAGAGTCATAGCATGCCATGACATTTCGTTGACACAGGAAGAATTTCGTCGACAAGTGCCATTTTTCAGTGGACAAAACAAGTGCAACTTTTTTAGTTTGTTTCATTTTCTTAAGTCTGGTCCGACATTAAACAAAAATACAAATGAGCCCAGTTTATAAGGTTTTCCTAGCATCGCTATCAGGGTGATGCCAATATACTTTATAAAAAAAGAGTTGAATATTGGGAGACCAGGTGAAAAATTAAGGGATAGATTCATTTTAAAAAATCTTCAAGATCAAAATGAATATTTGTGCATATCTGAACATACTAACTTTATTCATACATTATCATAAAGGGAATATAAGGGAGGATTATGACATTCTAATCAAATAATTTTCTAAAAATGTGCTACTTTAGTTTAATTTAATTTAGATTTTAAATATAAAATTTATTTCTAAGTAAATATACAACTTATTTTCAATTATTTATACTAACTAATGCCTAGTAAATATGTTTTATATTTCCTAGTAAATATAGAACTTATTTTCTAGTAAATATATTACTGATATAAAATACATAACTTAATAAAGAATTATGATAAAAATTAAGATGTCGATGAAAACCTTGTTTAGGGATATATAAGTCACATTAGCACGTAATAAATATAATAATTTTTAAAAGAAAGGTAATGCCAAAAACTTTTATATTTAAAATCTAAATTAAAAGTTTTATATTGAACAATTGTTAACAAATTAAATTATGTTTATGTTTTAAATATAGAATATACAAAAAATACAAAGTTACACTGAACACAGAAAAATTTTAAGTTTGCTGGTTTTCAATTGTTTGTGCCTCAAATAAAAATCAACTTCTTGAAGACGAATTAAAAAGTTAACATAAAAAAAAGAATATCTTTATTCAGCACCTTGCTTCTCAACTTCACTTTTTTCTTTTTCATCGTCAAACTTCTTTACAACAAGAATCAAAACAACTACCACAACAAAAATTTTTAACGGTTCCAATACAAGTATCCCTTTAAACTGAAATCATAAATATATTCAAAAAGTTAATTGACAAACATCAAAAAAATTATATTAATTAAGAAAACGAAACTAACATTAAAAAAAGATTAGAAACATAAATCAGGCTGTTTTTAAAGCTTAAAAAAAAAACCTTTTAAAACTTTATTTCACAAAAACATTTATTAAACCACTTATTAAATGCATTTAAGTTTGCTTATATATATATATATATATATATATATATATATATATATATATATATATATATATATATATATATATATATATATATATATATATATATATATATATATATATATATATATATATATATATATATATATATATATATATATATATATATATATACATATATATATACATATATATATACATATATAAATATATATATATATATATATATATATATACATATATATATATACATATATAAATATATATATATATATATATATATATATATATATATATATATATATATATATATATATATATATATATATATATATATATATATATATATATATATATATATGTATATATATATATATATATATATATATATATATATATATATATATATATATATATGTATATATATATATATATATATATATATATATATATATATATATATATATATATATATATATATATATATATATATATATATATATATATATATATATATATATATATATATATATATATATATATATATATACACCTTGTACAGAAAGTTTAAACGCACTTGTTTTTTTAACTTATATAATACTTTTAAGAAATGATAACCCAATAAATTAATGATATATGCTCTGTATTTTTATGTTTAGTTATACTATAGCTATAATTTATTAGTTTAGACAGAAAAAAAATTGTATGGATATTATAACGGAGGTGGAGAGTGATGAGAAAATTAACAGAGCAATTAAATCCTTTCAGTTTTTTAAATAAACTTTAAACACACTTTGATAAGAAAACGCGTTGAACTCATTTATTGAGAGATTTTTTATTAAAGTCTTTTGCATTTTTATCTCTCAACAGCCTGTTAACGTTACTATAATTCATTTGGATTCCTATTCTTATTTTACTTTAAATAAAAACCACAAATAGGATTTGATTTAAAATCCAGCAATTTTCAACAGATACAACTTTATCAAAATATCATATTTTCATGGGTAAAAAAGCTGTTTCATTCAAAACAAAAAGGTAGTCATTGATGAAAAAGCATAAAATGAAAATAAGCAATAGAGAAATATTTCTGAAATCAGTGTTCGTGCAACAATAAAAAATTATTTATCAACTGGTAGTGTCAATAATAAATCTCGTACTGGGCGTCCAAAAAAACGGCAGCACGCGATAAAAACATGATTTATACGCTAAGCAGACGTAAAAGCGGGAGTAGCAACTTTAGGTGCAGAAATCATTAGTTCGCTGGTAGACAAAACAGTTAGTAGAATGACTATAAGTAAGTTATTACGCAAAAAAGAATTAAATTCATTTCATTGTGTAAAAAAGCCTTTGTTGAAGTTAAGCGATCGCCAAAGACAAAAAAAAGTGGTGCAAAGAGCGTTTAAATTATTCAGTAGAACAATGAAAAATAATTATCTTTAGTGATGAATCAATTTTCGAAATTACTAATAAAAAAAACAAGAGATTTGCTCGTCACAAAAATACAGAAAAATATTTGAAACAACACCTATTAAGCTGTATTCAAAAAGGCGGTGGTTCCATTGGCATATGGGGATGTATATCAGGCTCAGGCGTTGGCTGTCATAAAATATATGAAAGAAGATTAAACTAGTATTATTATCGTGACATTTTGGAAAACGCGCTTATCCCTAGTCGCGATTTGTTCCAGGCTGATCAAAACTGGTTATTTCAACAAAACAATGCTCCATGCCATACAGTGCATTCAATCACTGATTATTTCCTTAAAAGTAATATTCAACCTATACCTTGGCCAGCACGATCACCAGACTTAAATCAGATTGAAAATTTATGGAACTGGATGGATTATCAACTAACAAAAAAGCAAATAACTAGTCACGAAATACTCAAACAAGAACCAAACTGTGGCTTGAAATACCAATCAAGATTAATCGAATCAATGCCAAGGCGAATACAAGCATGTTTTAAAAACAACGGGGGTCATATTCCGTATTAGTATATTTCGATTAAAAGAAGTTGTAGGTGCGTTTAAACTTTATTGCACTTTTTTTTAAGTAATCTTTTGATTACTTGAGTTTGTTGTTTAATTTCAGAAACGACTTTGTGTTTTTCTTATTCAAAGTTGTATTTTTCTCTCATTAATAACCAGCTAAGAATATTAAAAAAATAAAAACCTGGACCCTGCCTCATGTTTTCTCCTTGTACCACTTTAAACATACCTTAACTTTTAAAAAAACAAGTGCGTTTAAACTTTCTGTACAAGATGTATATATATACAAACATATATACATATATTGGGTGTATGCATTAAAAATAAGCATTTTTTTCAGACTCAGATAATTCAAAATAGTGTATTGAAAGCTACAATCATTGTTCAGGAAGCATGCAGATTTATCGCTGGAAAAAGTCTTCTAGATAATCTAGTCATTGACAAATTTAGTATTGTCACAAGAAGAATATTGCTGCTCAAGCAATTTTTTACTGATGATAGCCAGGCCATTTGTCATCAACCAGAACAAATAGTAATCGGTGGTGGGAAATGTTGGTTGAATACAGCGGGTGGGGTAGAACTTGTTACTAGAGGTTCTCCAGGTTTTTTTGCAAAATTTGAGTAAAAAGTGTCGTGCATTGTCATGTTGAAGAATAATCTCACCATGTCTTTTGCTATATTACAACTTTTTATCTTTGAATGCTTGACCAATGGCTTATCTTGACCAATTGTAGTCAGTAATGCTCTGTTTTACTTGTTCAGTTCAAGCAGCTCATAATATATTACTCTGAAAAGGACCCACCAGATTTAAAGCATGAACTTGGAACCATGAATATTTGGTTTTGCTGTCAATGTTGATGGGTCAACAAGCTTAACTTTTCTGCAGTTAGGGTTGTCACAACGTATCCACTTTTCATTACCAGTTAAAATTCAATGCAGAAAACCTTTTCTTTTTTGTTGTGCAAGCAGCTGTTTGCAGGTAAAAAATTATCTTTTGATGTCCCTCAGTTTTAATTCATATCAATGTCTTACCGTATCCATTCATCCTTGGTTTTAATTCACTCCCAGTTATTTCAAGCACCTAAAAACTGTTTATTGATCAACTACCAATATTTCTGCAATCTTAACTTATGTTTGGCATTGGCCTTCATCAAGTAATGCCTATAATTCAGTATCTTCAAATTTTTTCTCAACACCAGGATGTTTTTATTCTTTGAGTTCAAAACCACTATCCTTGATTCATTGAAACCATCTTCTAAATGCTTGTTTTGAAAGAGCATTGTTTTCATATGTTTTCACTAATATTCAATGCACCTCAGTTGATGTTGTCTTTTGGTGAAAGTAATGTAAAAGAACTCAAAAATTGATTTTGTGGCATAACCTCAGCCATGCTTATAGTTTTTGATATTTACACTAAGGGAGTTAAAATTAGACTGATGTTTGAAGCCTATCGCTTTAACTTTCAGGTAAAATTTATTTCATTTATTCATATATATATATATATATATATATATATATATATATATATATATATATATATATATATATATATATATATATTTATATATATATATACATATATATATATATATATTTATATATATATATATATATATATATATATATATATACAAAATAGATTTGTATCAATATGGTATAATAATTATAATACAAATACTCTTGTGTGTTTAAGAGTGCTCTATACTATTAAATAATAGAGCAATATTTATTTATTTATATAAAATGAATAAAAACAACTTTGATGGAACTCTGAGTTTCATGCCTTTAGGCAATCATCAGCCGTTGAGTATTTTGTCACTTGAAAAGCGTTTAAAAATTAAAATTTAAAATTACGGTGGAACGAGTTCTGACGTTACAAACACAAAACAAAACAAAACAAAACTTGACTTTTTTGATTTTTGTTTGTTTGCGGTTGGTAGGTTAGGTGAATTGTATCCTGATTTGCCTAAAGCCTCTTTATAAGGAAGAATTGAATTATTGAACACAGTTTCATTTACTGCCTTAGTCAATAGTGCGAGGGATTTCTTTTACTATATTAGGCAGATGGTTTGAATTAGAATGAACATACATAAGTAGGTTATTAAGTTTAAAATATATGGTACAACCCTCCGTTTAGCAAAAATGTTGAAACTCTACTATGTTTACTAGGTGTAATTTGTAAACATTTAGTTGCTGTTGCCCATTTTTTACATAAAATTTTATCATTTAAAGGGAATCTGTAAAAATAAACTAAACTACTTTTATCAAATCTGCTTTTACAGTTGTAAACTGAACAATTAATATCCATGTTTATTATTTGTTACTCTAAAAAAATAAAAAGTATTGTTTTCAAAAATATATCTTTCTTGTTTTATAAATACATACACCCACACTCACACACGTTATCCCAGACTTTATCATTTATAATATCATTTGACTAAATATATATATATATATATATATATATATATATATATATATATATATATATATATATATATATATATATATATACATTATATTATATATGATATAACCTGAAGCGAGTCTAAATAAATATCTCAGTTTAAAAATGTAAATATTTAAAATACATATATTTAAAATATTTTCCGAAGGTTCAAAGTCTTTTTACTTTAAACTAAAATTACCAGCTTAGCAGTTATTTTTCATAATAGCAAGTTAAAAGTAACAGACGTTACTTTTAACCTACATTTATAAAATTATCCAATACTAAAGCATCACACAATATCATTCCAACCTGACTAACTTTTAAACCAATTTTCTGATTTAACTGACACAAATATTTTTTGTTTTGATTTTGTTTTAGTTTTTTGTC